AATCGGTCAACATCCTGAGTCTGCAATCCAAAGTTCAGGAAAAGCCAGGATCCGTTCCGGAGCTTCTTCCAGCTTGCAGTGCCATCCAGTCCACCAAACCTCCCGAGCTTGAAAAGGCCAGTGTATGGGGGCTTCCTTGTTCAATACTGATGGTAGGTGTCATAGTCTGACTCCCCTGTAAACGAAATCTGAACAGTAGCACCCTGATGCCAGGATGTGGTTCGAACTACATCACAGAAGCTTCTTCATCTTGCGGGCAGCTTTTCTGGCCTACCTAGTGAGTGGGCAGCCATGAAATCCCTTGGGGTAAGGAACATGTCCCCATCAATGCAGATGCCACCGCCTACGTGTGGCAAGATACTCCTGCGATGCAAGAATCATGCTTCAGCCTTCCGTGAGCACATGGGTGTGCAGCTGTGTGTGTTCAAAATCGGTGTGACCGCCAATGTCCCACGCCGTTATGCTGACTATGTAAAGAAAAACTTCACAGCAATGTGGATCCTACATTCTGGAGATGAAGTCGGCTTGATACACATGCTAGAGGCTGCTTTGATCTCTGAGTTGCAGACCTGTACAGGCTGCCGTAATTCAGCAAACAGTGGTGGTGAAGGTGCCTTAAACCGAAAGGATCGGGAAGGTCCACCCTACTTCGTGTACATTACTGGTGGCCGAGCCGATCAAGCATGTAGGGTGGGCTAAGTACCCAGAACCTACTTATGAGAAGCTGCCATGATTGCACAGACCCGGCCGTTGAACTGTGTGTGTCTGCATCTCTCCGTCTCTCTCTCCCTCTCCCTCTCTCAGTCCCTTTCTGGCCACTCTTGTTTGTGCTTTCTGCCATTCGCGAGCATGCACCAAACACAATTTTCTAAGCTTTGGCCAAAAAATCGCTGAGGCCCCATGCAAGCACGTCGTGGAGATTGCGATCGCTGCTGTGGCAGACGATCCAGAGGGGGGGCACACGCCTGCTCTCCGAGAGTTGACTTCTGTGTCTTTGACTGATGCTGAAACAGGGGTGCATCGTGTTTTCAGGAAGTATGGCCTAGCTGCTGATTTGCCTTTGAAGAGGGCTGTCATTGGACCAGGGCCACTGGCAGCCTTTCCCTACTTGAACTTTTCCGATTGGGTAAAGTATCTCGTCGAGAGGAGGCAGCTTGGGCAGCTTTGTGGGACGAACGACATTCAGCAGATGAATGTGCTGCTGTCTGAGTTCTGGCGCAGATACAAATTAGTGGAGCCCGATCATGAACTTTGGGCCTTTGCAGCTGCCAACGAGGTCGACTTGAAGTTTTGTTTGCCAATCTACAGTCATACCGACGAAGGCCGAACATTGAAGAAAAAGCCGATTTGGATCTTGTCATGCCATGGTGCATTAGGTGCCGGCACATCCAAGAACATCAGAAATGTGCCGGTTTCGCCCACGAACATCATGGAAGATGGCATGCGCCTTAACTTCCTCGGCAACACTTGGGGGACCCAGTTCCTGGTGTCTGTGATGACGAGGCACCTGCAGACTCAGCACCCAGACTCCATGCAGAAAGTTGTTGCACACTTCGCAAAGGACATGCACATGCTCCTTAAGCAGGGAGTTACATCCAAGGATGGAAGTTTGAAGATCTGGTGCATTCATATAGCAAACAAAGGAGATCTCCCGGCTTTGATCCGGATGGGGAACTTTGAGCGGAACTATGCTCGGTGCCCAAAGGCACCGAGCTCCAAGAAGCAATGTCTGGGAATCTGCCATTATTGCCAAGCGGGTGTGGAAGGACCGGGCAACACACCGCTCCATCCATGGGAGGACTTCCGGGAAAGTGCGTCATGGCGCAGTACACTTTTTCAGGAGGTTCCATGGGAGATTGAGCCTCAGGTTCTCATGGGCCTTCCAACAGCTCGCGGCGCACAAGAAAGCTTTTTCGTTGTGGATGTTTGGCATACATTTCAATATGGAATTGCGCGATACTACCTGGGCTCGGCGATGATTCATTTCATCACTCACTTCTTTCATGACAGCTCATGGGATGCCAAGTTTGCTCACTTGTCGACGGAGTACTTTGCTTTTTGTCGCACACGGAGGTTGACACCACACCTCCAGGAGATCAATGAGTATACTTTCAACTACGAGTCCGAGAAGGCCTTTCCCCTGGGCCATTGGGCTAAGGGTGCAGTCTCCACCAACATGATGCTCTTTTTGGAGGACCTCTTGCAGAGGTATGTTGTGGATCAAACGGATGATGAAATTTTTCTGGCACTTGTGCCTGGCTCGAAAGGACAGCACGGCTTCTATTAGACGATTGAGCTTCTGTGTTCTTGTTGTTGGGGTATTTGTCTCGACTCACTATTTTGATATTGGCTGCTAGTTTCCTTACTTATATAGAGGTATGCAGTCATGGGCAAAACAAAGCAGCAACTCAGGTGAACGCCACCAAGGCGATGAATCTTTTCTTCAAGGAGTTGTACGCCTCAGGATTTTGGATTCCAGCCCCCAAAGGTGCAAAACTCGGGAAGCTTGTGCAGGTTTTTCTGCTCAGCTACCAGAAGTGTGCATTCTTGTCGGCGACCAGGATGATCAGCCGGTTTCAACTGGTGCCAAAGCTACACATGCTGAGTCATGTGGCTCTTCGAATGATCCAGGACTCCCAACGCAGCCCATGGGTTCGAAACCCGCTGGCAGAGTCAGTTCAGATGCAAGAAGATTATGTCGGCCGGCCAAGCCGAGTATCGCGAAGGGTGCATATTCGTATGGTGCATGAGCGTGTAATACTTCGTGCCCTGTGTGCGACACACCTGGAGCTGCTGAGCCTCGCATAACGACCCCGTGTCTTTTCAACAGCTGTGTGTGAATGTATACCCGGGTCTATACCTTAATCAAAGTAGCTTTCATCTTACTGGCCTCTCATATTCTCTCACTCTCACCTCTCACCGAAGAAACTCAACATTCACTCATGTGCTGTGCTCACCTGAAGTGCCTCGCCGCTGCAGCGCAGCAAAAGCCAGCCGCCCACGATGGCATTCCAGGAGGTTTGGGGGCTGAGGTTAAGTAGGGTTCGTTAAGGGGATAGGCTCAGATCGTTCAAGGTTATCAATTATGTAGATCATTATACAAGGTGTCCATGTTGACGATGCTTCTGAGCATGATATTGGGCTGCATTTGTGCAAGTTCTCATTTCAGCACACCGAACCAAAGAATAATCTCAAAGCTCTTTCCCCAAGATGCTCGTCCGTATATCGATCTGCAGAGTCTTCTGCAAACCCCTGAAATATGCTGGATTGCGGAAATCTGAGATATTTGGAGAAGGTCCTGTTTTACACCATGGGACCCGTATCTTCGGTAAGACTTCGGCCCTGAGCTTGTTTTGTAGGCCAAGCCGGTTTAAGGTAAGCCCTAAACCCGAAATCCTAAACCTTAAGCCTTATCTCGGCTTTACGATGTCGGTCAGAACGGACAACTTGGGGGCCTGATAGACTCAAGGAGCCTGCGCATATTATACAAGCAGGTTTACACATACTTCTAATTGCTTCTAATCGAAAATTCAAGCTGTTTAGGATTTAGGGTTTTTGGACTTAAGTCATATGTTCGTGTTTTATGTGTGAAGATTTGCAACCTTATGGTTTCAATTTTGCTTCTCTTCAGGAAAGGCCTTGTCTGGCATCCGCCTCCGAAACGGCATGCCGGAGGTCCGCGAGGGGGAGGGGGGGGGGGGGGGGGG